GTCCCCCCAGAGAACAGTATGGAGTCCCACTGGAGACCAGAACTCCTACATTGTGCAGCCTCCTCTTCTTCTAGAAACATGAGCAAAGAAAATTAAACGTTCTCACAGATTTAGAGTTTCACATCTCGCCAATACATGACTTTGTCTCGAGTCAGACCTGAGACAAACATTAGATGACTTGCAACTCGAATTGGACTTGAGATATTTGACTTGAAAATGACTTGATAACTTCCTACAATCCCAAAGAATAAAAGTAAGTCAATCAACATGTGTGACACTTTCTTAATCAACCAACCTAATTGATCCAAGTTGAGGCAGTAGAGAACAATCGTTATGTTACTTAGTGCCTGTAGTGCATGTGTCTCACATGACTTGGACTTGAGGAAAACATTTAATGACTTTAGAAAGACTTTCCACTTGAGTTGTAGCTTAACGTTTAAGACACGTGACTCCCTTTGGACTTTAGCCTTGGGATGGAAAAGTATTTATATCTTTATCTCCAAGAAAGTCAACGCATAATTGATCTAAGTTGATCAAAAAACAACAAACATGAAGAACTGATATTATGTTACTGAGGGCCAGCTGGAAAAATATATATATAGTTCCACCTGACTTTAGAAAGACAACTCAACTTGGGCTTCAACATAAATATCTCTCAACGTATGTTGTTTAAAAATGTGTCACACTTTCTAAATCAGCTGACTTTAATGCTATTTATTCCCGTCACATGATCAATTGAAGTCCATACACTCTTTTTGAACAGGGACCGATCAACATCTAGCAGAGAACCATGAAGAACTAACATGCTGAATATGAATGCAAGTTGGAAAAATAATTGTGTTCCTGTACAAAAACAAAACAATGGAGTGGTCACCAAAAAACAGACTGTGGTAAGAAGGAAAACACAACTGAAAACTACAGACAGACACACTTTGTGACTTGTTTGGGACTTGAAACCCAATGTCTTTGGACATATGACTCGCAGAACAATGACTTAATCCCACCTCTGCTACTTAGTGTATGTTTTAATAACACCCGGTCCATTGTAAGGAGGAATCAAGGAACATATCAGACTATAAAGAGTGAGGGGTCTGTAGTGTTTTGGCTGTCCTCAGTATGTTTGACCAGGTTCAGGTTTCTGACCTATTTCCACCTCATGTCTGCTCCTAAAGACAGAACCAGGTCGGACTAATGGTTACATAAATAAGTGGCCTTTCCTCTCAGGCCCATGCCCTCTCCTGCTGCCCCTCTGACAGCCAGGGAAATACCAGGGAACAGGAAGCTGTCCCACGGGTTTGGCCTCTGGATCCTCAGAGGACTAATCGATCCATGCTGTCAGGTGACTAAAACAACAATGCACACAACGCCTTCTTAAACCCCCAGACCGCCCATGAGCTGCAGAATTTTTTTAAGCAAATACTCACTGCAATCGGCCTGGTTTGCGGCTCGCAGAGGGAGGCAGCTCTAAGCACCGCGCGGCATAGTTTCAGGCCGGGAGCTGGAGCTTGTTTACAGCCGGGGACGATGCTCTCCGCCCGGCTCTGAATGCAGGAACTTGCCCCCTGTGGTCGGAGCTCAGGGTTTCGCAGGGATCCCTGGAAGATGCCAGGCGGAGGACTCCATGTTAGTTGGCTGCAGGCACGCTGCGTACGTAACGTGGTGACGAGAAGAAGAAAAAGAAGAAGAAGAGAGGAAACACCGGAGACAAGTTTAATAAGTTTTACTTCATAGCTTTTATTCCTATTATCGTACGGTGACGCAGTTTGCATGGTGGCTTTCTGATTTAACGCGTTTTTACATCTTGGTGACACTTTTATTCTGCAGGAAATACACCTTCATACTCTTCACATGTCAAACTGGGGAGGTTTAAGGATGGAAGATGTTATTTTATAGACACAGGTGAGGTGTAAATGGCTAATTGTGGTGATTTAGTTTAACTGTATAGTGTATAGTAGTTCATTGGTCCTTATTTATATCACTGTAGTTTATTACATGTTTATAATCATGTTAGATGTATTTCTATTTATGTTTAAAGGACAGCTGGATTAAGTTTGTCATTAGTTTGTGTATAAATGTTCCTAAATGTTGGAAATCAATAAAAGCCGTACTGCTGGTTATAACAGTCATATGGCGCCCTCTACTGGCCTCGGGTGGAACTGTATGTTGTTTTGAATGAATACTAATTTATACTAATAATACCAATTAGTGCCTTATGATACTCTTGAATATCTTATACATTTATTAACTGTACAAGCATTTTCTTCACAATATTACACTTTTGAAATCATTTTTACAGTTTCTTTTAACACTAAATGTACTATTTTAATCCATCAGTTTGTTAAACAATAAATAAAAGCTTAAGGAACATGTTACTGTGTCGGTACAAATGTCTTTTAATATTCTCATTTAAGAAAACATTGTTTTATTAAACTACAAAGGCACTTCGGTACAAGTAAAAGTCCCTAATTCAAAACTGTACTCCTAGAAAGTACATAAGTATCATCAGAAAAGTGTATTTAAATCCTAATCTGCAATCAAACTAGTCACAAAAGCTGTCGAGGACTAAAAGGTATAATATTTCCCTCTGAAATGAAGAGCAGTTGAAAAATGAAGTAGCAGAAAATAAGTACAAGACACGTTTTTATTTTGTTGAGTTTTATTTCATTAACACTCTTCCTCTTTCCACACAGATCGTTTTCATTTCTTTACCTCCTGAAATGAAGAAAAATATAAAATATGAGATGAATGAGCGACACAGACATTTGTTCATGGGTTTCTTTGTTTTTCTATGATTGTACACAGCAATCATAAGTCACGCCCTGTCTGTCGTGTCATGGAGGATTTAGAGACTTGAGGGATGCCACCAGGTCTTGCATCAGAGCATCGTGGGTAATTAAGAGCCACTGCTTTTGTTGTGGATACAGATTTGTTTCCTAACAGAGATCAGCTGATAGCTCACCTACTGTGTTATATCATCATAGGTCATCACACATTTTACAAAATGCATGGATTCATCACTTATTATAATCCAATACTTTAATAAATATTATTCTGACATGCATAATCAGTTATTTATCTTTTGGTCATTTCAGTTTTTTCTAATGCTTTTATTTTTACTTAAAGGTCACCTATTATGCAGAATCCACTTGTTCATGTCTCTTCTAAATCAACATGTGTCCCCTCTTCTTCATGTCTCTTCTAAATCAACATGTGTCCCCTCTTCTTCATGTCTCTTCTACATCAACATGTGTCCCCTCTTCTTCATGTCTCTTCTACATCAACATGTGTCCCCTCTGTGGAAAGAGACTCTGAAAGTTTCAGGAACAAAGATTCTCTCTCTTTTTGTCCTGATCCATTTCTATAAAAACCTGTCTGAAAATGAGTTGATCAGATTTTGGCCACTTTATGATGTCATAACGATGTTTTGGCTTGTGTAACCATTAGCCAATCAGCAACCATGGTTTCCGACAGAGGGTGAA